AAGTAGGTGAACCACACTTCTCCACCCTCCCTACCCCGCACATGCAGAAACCTGCTGAAGTTGGAAAGACCCTTGCCAAGAATAAAGGGCTGCTCAGACAACCCCATAGATCTTGAGAAACTTGCTTTCTACAAACTGCCTCAAATCCTCTCCACAAAGAAACAGACTGTAAATCACAATAACTATGACATCAATAACCACCACCTTTGAGCACCCAACTGTATACAAAGACTATGATGGATGATGCTTCACATATATCATCTTAATCATCTTGAGAACAAAAAATGTTTATAGAACCCAATACCTTGCAGAATAATGGAGTCCTAGCTGGAGTATGATTCTAAGTGGCTTCAAAGAGCCAGGCAGTAATCTGGGGAACCAAATCTACAGAAGCCCAGCCAGGACCACCATGGGTTTTACCCCAACCTCAGTGAGGGCAGAATTAAAGCACAAGCTTCAAGCTCCTTCCAAAGGCCCTCTCTGTAGATCATACTGGAACCTAACCTTTGTCTATGGGGCCTTAGGAGAAACTCTAAGCCCCGGACAAGAACTCCATCTCTCCAGCCATTTTTGGTGGGGGCCACTTCACTTGGTCATTTATAAACTGGCCAGCAATGGACGTTACATGGAACTTCACTTGTTAACCACAGGACTTAGGTAATGCCCAGAATAGACAATAGGCCAGAAATGTTTCTGCACAGAAAATTCCCCAGGACACTGGTGCCCTGTTGCAGAGGTGTCCCCTGCAACATTATGTACAGGAGTAGAATCCTGAAAAGAACCTAAATGTCCAAAAGTGGAAAATAATAACAGAAAGCAGGTTAGAACAATGAGATGGACTATGAAGCATACATTCAGCTAAGGTTGTACGTAATTAAGGAAGATAAGGGAAACAGCATTGCAGCAGGTCAAGTTTTTAAAATTAGGCTACAATACTATAAGTGGGGTATGTAGTATCAGCTATTTCTTAAAATGCATAGAAAAATGACTAGAATAAAACACACCAAAATGTTAACAGTGAGGATCCTGAGGTGGTGGAATTAAGGGTGACTGCTGCTTTCATTTTTATACCTACTTTGCATTATTTAGAACATTTTCTCCACAAAGGATGTGTTGCAATTTTAACCACAAAGTTGATATCTGTCCAGTGTCATGTAGCCAGTATCCATTCATTTTGACTGGTACCTTCTCAGATGCCCAGTACTGTTCTGGGTATGGATGGGGGCAGGGGAACCATAATGAACAGACAGCTGGACTACACTTGGCCCCCCACACACAACCTTGCAGCTGGGTGTGGCCATGTGAGTGAGTCTCACTCATGGGGAGTGAGATGTGTGTTACCTTCCAGAGCACAAAAAAATCCAGCTTGTTTTTCTCCCAAGTCAAGAAAGAGAACATTGCCAAGGCACTGAAGCACCCTGCATCCTCTCCCCAATTTCAACCTTTTCCCTCCCTTCCTTAGAGGGAACCCTGACTGGCTTTTTACACACTTCTAAACAATATAGTGGCTTTGCCCGTCCTTGAGTGTTATGTGTTTGGATTCATACTCAAATGTTTTGCCATCACTCAACAAGTCCATGAAATTTATCCATATTGTAGCCTAGAGCCAGAGTTCATTTTCATTTCTGGATACTACTCTGTTATTCTACCCATAATGGCTGTAAGGGGCATCTCAGGGTCTTGCTCACCAAGAACAAGGCTACTGAGAAGATTCCTGTCCATTTCCCCTGGGGAACATGGGCAGAACCCCAGAATAGAATGACCATGTCTTAGGATGTTGACGTGTCCAACTTTACAAGATAATTCCAAAGTATCCTGTAATACTTCTTACTACTGAATACTAAAATGGTGTCTCGTTTCTTATTCCTTTGATTACCACTGAGAGTGAGCCACTTTTCACCTGTTTATTACCCATTTGTGTTTTCTCTTTCAAGAAGTGCCTGTTTGTGTCTTTTACATTTTCTGTTGGGTTATTGGTCTTTTTCTTATTGTAGTTCTCTCCGTATTTTGGATGTCAATTATTTTTTGGCTAAATGTGTTGCAGATATGTCCTTCAAGTTTGTGGCTTCTTTTTTACTTTTTTTCTTTGCATTTTTTGATAAATAGGAATGCTTAATTTTCAATGTAGTCTAGTTTATCAATCTTTTCTTTATGGTTTGTACTTTATGTGCCTTCAGAAATCTTTACTTACCTTGAAGTCCAAGGTTATTCTTTTATACATTCTAAAGGTGTTAAAGTTTTTATTTATTTCATTCTTAAATTTTTAAACTATCTAGAAATCTTCTTTCTGTATGGTGTGAGGTAGTGCTCTAGTTTTACTTGTTCCCATCTGAACAATCGATTGTCTCTGTCCCATTTATTCAATAGACAATCATTGCCTAGTTTGATCAGCAATCTCTGTCAAAAATAAAATACCTTTATATGTATGGATTTGTTTCAGGTCTATTTTGCTCCCTTAGGCAATTTCCCTAATGCTGCATCACACTGTCTTAATCCTTATAGCTTTATGATAAGTACATTTCTTGATATAGAAAAAACAAATTCTGCTTGATTGGATAGTTACTTACAGCATGCACTCTATGTTAGAATCTAGGGATCAACTGGTCCATCCTTTGAGAAACAAGGCTCAGAGAGAGAGGCTATCTTCTGCAGTATCACATAGGATTTTTTTTTTTTTTAGACAGAGTCTTACTATGTTGCCCTCAGTAGAATGTTGTGGTGTCACAGCTCACCACAACCTCAAACTCTTGGGCTCAAGCAATTCTCTTGTCTCAGCCTCCCAAGTCCTGCTAGGACTACAGATGCCTGCCACAACACACGGCTATTTTTTGGTTGTAGTTGTCATTACTGTTTGGTAGGCCCAGGCTGGGTTTGAACCTGCCAGGTCTGGTGTATGAGCTACAGGCACCAGCTATCACATAGCATTTAAGTAGGAAAAACCATCTCTTACCATAGAGGATATTCAATATGGTAGACACTAGCCAAATGTGAGCACTTGGAGTTATGACTAGTCCAAATTTAAATGGGCTATAAGTATAAAATACATACCAGATATGGAACACCCATAGTGAAGAAAAGGATGTAAAATAGCTCATGAATAATTTCTTCATATTAATTACATGCTAAAATCATAATACTTTGGATAGAGTTAACTAAAATACAATCCAAAAAAATAATTTCGCCTGTTTATTTTGACCTCCTTATAACAAGATGGAATATTAGGCATACATTAAACTGAATGGCTACAAGAAAATTTAAAATTACATCTGTGACTTTTATATCTCTAATGGACAGCACTGGGTTATATCATTAAATCATTCAACCAAGAAGCTTTTATTAAGGACTTAATTTGTGGACTTCACAGCAGTAAGAATTGCATGACAGGAAGGGAACAGTAAATAGTTCTGATTGAGGCAATCAGTCCGTTTCCTCACTGGACCCATTACCCACAGTAGCAACACCAGTCCAGGCATGGAAGACTAGCTCCCTGGCCCCAGCCAGAGAGCTCTATTCCAGTTACAGAGGGGTGACTTGAGTGTCCAAATCTAGAGATTATTTGACCAACTGTCTCGTCTTTACAGATCCAGCCAGCTGAGGTCAGGAGAGGTTGAAACACCGGCCCAAGATGCAGGACGGCCAAGTCCCTATTGCAGAGGCTTCAGCATACCTTCCTTTCATGTCTGCACGCACAACCTTGAGCCCAGGGCTTCTCTCCTTCCCAGCAAACATTCCACCAACTTAAGTCTCACAACAGCACCCAGAACCCTTGAGAGAAAGACTTTGAAAGTCCAACTGCCCACTCTGGAAAAGACTGTGGTGGATTTGTGCAGCTAGGCCCTCCCATACTCTGCAGGGAGAGAAAATCTGCAAGAACTCACCCTCAAGTCCTTCTTGTGTATCACTTCTCTGGGTGGGATTCCTCATCCTTGCAAAGGATACACAATGCCCCAGGGATTGGGATGTAGGGACAGAGGGAGTCTGAGAGCCTTTCCTCCCCTGGGCCCATCCTAGCCCTGTGCCTCTTGGTCAAGCTGTGCTCAGTCTGCCCAGAACCTGCAGAGACTTCATGAACACCATGGACTCTCAACAACTTCCTGGAGATAACGTGTCACATGGCCATGAGTATGAAAAATGAAGCCCACGGGTCTCAAAGTCACAACCACCTAGAAGCCCCAGCACACACATGGCTCTTGAGCCTATAAAGGCAGGAGACCTGAAGTGAGGAGAGGCAATAGATGATACCCAGAGCAGGCGAGGTGGTTCCTCCAAAGAGAGTTTGGGGACTGAACCTGCCAGAACAGCCTGTCCTCCCCAAAAGTCACTGGGACTGAGCATTTTTCAGGAAAGGGTTTTTATGCAGCTGTTGAAGCAAGCACACCCCTCAACAAAATTTTACTGAAATTTAATCATTGTGGCCCCCCACCCCATCTCACAGTCCCAAGCTGTGGAAATTGGAAATCCAAGCAACAGGAGCTTAACTTCTGCTCCGCAATCCCATGGCAGGATCTGCCATCACCATTGCGAGGCTCAGAGAGGCTCACACTGTAAAAAAGACCGGTATGTACAGGTAGTCTCATTCCCTACCTGAAAAAGAGCACTTACCCATCCCTCCGACTTGTTGAGAGGTGAGCAGAGGCGGTGCAAACTCCCTTTATCCTTAACAATAGCGCCCGATTGGCGGTTCTGGGCTCCAGGCACTGTGGAAAGTGCTTTCCAAGGACCAGCTTACTTAATCCTCACCGGACCCTACGGGGGATTCTCATAACGCATATCTTGTAAACGTGGAAACTGAGGTTCAGACAGGCTGAGAGAAGAGGCGTAGGGATACGCGCTGTTCCCCAGCCGGGGGCTGACCGCCTGGCGGGAACCCGACTCAGACACCGGGACTCGACTACCTTGGCGCCAGCTTCCTCCTGCCCGGCCAGGGAATGCACCTGTCGCCCAGCGGTCCTGGCAGCGGGGCCTGGAGCCGCCCCTGCCCGCCGGTCCCCGCGGCTCACCTGGCGTATTTGGTCTTCTGGAAATCCAGCAGCCTAGGCGCGAACATCGCGGCGCTTCCATCAGCATCCGGCTGGGGCTCGGACCCTGGGGACTCTAAGATCCACGGGCAGGCGGCGCGGGTGGCTGAGCAGCAGGTTGCAGGGCACCGGCGGAGGCGCGGCGGGGCCGGAGCCCGAGAGGGAGCCGGAGCCGCAGGCGCCCCGGCCGCCGCCACCAAATCCCGAGCAGATGGTGGCGGGGGCGGGACGGGGGAGCAGGGGTGGAGGCGGGGCGGGGAGGGACAGAGGGGGAGGGGCAGGGGCTCTGGCCGCGCGCGCCGCCCCTCGCCAGTCCCCCGGCGCCTGGCCCCCAGGCCTCTACCCTCACCAGGGAGCTGGGGGCTGGGGGCAAGGGGCGGCGGGGACCTCTGGGGGCGGCGCGGACCTCCGGAGCCGGCGCCTGCCGGTCCCTCCGCCGGTAGTACCTAGGGGAGCAGAAGGCGGCCTGGACCTGACGAAGCCGCCGGCACCCCGAGGGCCTGGGCAGGGCTAGCAGGGACAGGTGCCCCCTGCGTGGCTGACCCCCGAACCCAACGGTGACCCGGCTTCCCAGCTCCCCGAGCTGTCCGCCTTCACCTCCCTGGGAGGCGCGACGGCCCCAGGGACTGATCCCGGGAAGAGCCACGACCCCCCCCTCCCCGCGAATGCTCCTCGCGCTGGACGGCGTGGCTCTACTGACCCTCAGGACCCCAATTCCAACGCACCTAGCCCCTGATCCCACCTCAACCCGGACCTACTGCAAAACCCAGCTTTCTCCTTTAGGAGACCTTGGCCAGGCTCTAGGCTATGGAAAACCAAGCTCCTCGTTAAAGGCTGCGTACTTTTTGAAGGCTGAGACAGGCAAGACAACCTTCGCATAGAGGAAACATCGACATCACCGGGGGGACTCAAGGACTATCCCTAAATTGAAGGGAAGGCCCCTACTTCCCACACACTTCACCCTCCTCCTGTCTGTCTCCTCCCTTCTGTTCCAAGCCCAGGCTTCCCGGCTACATTTGAGATCCTGCCACACTGCTCAGAAAATGATTTCATCCACGACCCCTGCCCCAAGGGAGCCAGAACTAGAAGGAAAAAGACAAAAAGGATTCCATCTAATTCATTTCTGTGTTCCAAATGCTAGGCACAAGTGGACACACACCACTATCCGTGAGGACCACAGAGGTTACAGGTAGATGCATTCAGAGGCCTTGCAGGGCTGGGAGTGGGGGGGTCAGAGGTGAAGGTGCAGGTGTAGGGCAGGAGAAGGGGTCCAGAGGTGCTTAGGAAGTAAAACCTTCACTAGATGAAGGTGGATTAGAAGTGGGGGTGAGGGGAAAGGGCAGTCAAGGAGGAACACCCAGGTTTTCAGCTAGACCCCTGGGTGAGTACTAGTCCCATTCCTGGTAGGACAGAGCTAGAAGGATTTAGAGCTGTGGGTTTCAACTTGTTCATCTCCACCGGCTAGAGCTGTGACTTCTAATATGCCAGCCACCAACCTCACAGGACTATACATTTACAGTAAGATGAATCTCCTCATCACACTAGCCACATACAGCCGGTGTCTACTGAAAGGAACCATTTCCAGCCTTGCAGAGAGTTTCATGGGACAGCACAGCACTGTGAGATCATGGCATCAACTCAGTGGTGAGCAGCTCTTAAAACAAAATGAGACAGAAGAAACAACTGAGGACAGTGAGGATAACTCAAGTTCAGGACATTTGGGTTTCAGTTATTTATATAAGTACATTTGTGTGTCCTGGTTGGGCTGGAAAATGTGCTTCTTACCATAAGTCACAGTGAGTGAGGCTCATGGCTGAGTGATCAGCACCTCTAATCCCTTTGAGTTACCTCTTATTTCATGTCTTCTGCCCTGAACTTGACCTCTGTTGCTGTTGCTCTGACCCCACAGGCCCAGGCCTCACTGTCAGCTGCAGTAGGATACAACTGCCCCTAGGTACTAGCAACACTTTCCCAGAGTGGCCCTGCAAAGGTAAAAGGCTGCCCCAGGGCTGGGGGGGACAGTGCCCCGGGGCACCCACTGGTAACCACAGCTCCCAGAAAGGAGGGGCTGTACCTACCCAGGCTGCTGGCCTTCTGGCTCCAGCCTGCTGCCAACCTTCAAACAGTGGGAACTTCAGGGCCCCCGGAGAAGACCCCTGAATTGAAACACAAGCCTGGAAATGGATTTTCTTTTTCTCCAAGAGCAAAAGAAGTTGAATAAAAAATAAGTTACTATTTTTACTGCCAGGATCTGGTTGTTATGGCAACCAAGGACCTGACTCCTGCTCAGAGTCTCAGGGTTGGACTACGACTGAGGGAGGAGGTGGAGTAGCATTGTGGGGCAGGCAGCTTGGCTGCCCCTGAAAGGACAGCAGGATGTCCACTTCTGCTCTCTGACTGCCTGCCACCCTCCCCATGTCTTGGGCTCCCTGCAGGCACACTCCCCTCCTACCAGCTTTGTGGTCTTGGGCCCTGTCTAGCCTTGTCACTAAAACATTTACACCCCTGGAATGGGGGACCATGTCCTTACTTCTGGGTGGAATTTGTGGCCTCTGCCTCAGGAGCAACTCAGCCTCTCAACCACACTTAGCCACCATCGCACCCTGCTCCCCACCCCCCCAAGATGGCACTAGCACCACCAGGCTGGGCCAGGCTGTACAGTAGCTAAAGTCTACAGGTATCCTCACCTGTATTCAAGGCTTGGCTCCATCCAGTACCACCTAACTTTATACCCTAGCCCACAAGCTACACAAGCCTCAGTTCCTCCATTTGTAAACTAGGGGTAACAACAGCCACCTTGCAGGACTGCCAGAGGATCCCAGGAGGCCCAGGAATGGTTTAATTACAGAAAGCCATAGTTTCCCTGTGACTTTCTCCATAACTCTACATAGGAGGCATTGTCATTCCTATTTCACAGGCCAGGAAACTGGAGCTCACCAGGTTAAGCCACACAGCAGACTGTACAGCTGAACTGGAACCTAAACCCAGGTCTATTTACCCCCAATGCCGCCTGCACTACCAAACAAACATTGATGACACTTGCTGTCTCCTGGCTCAGGAAAGGACAGATCAGGAAGCAGGAGGCTTGCTAAAGCCCTCCCACAACCCAGACTTCCCTGAACTTCCTAGGAGCCCCTTCTCCCATAAGGCCAGCCTCTGATATGTGTCCCTGGAGCCTCATAGCACCCTCTCACCTGATTCTTCTCCTGCCTTTTGGTGACTTTAATCCCTAATCAGTAGGAACTAAATGGGCACCTGCTAAGTGCCTAGCAGTGTCCAGGAGCTAGGACACAGATAGAAGCATAGTCTCTGGCCACCTAAAGCTTAGAGTCTAGAATGAATAAGGGAACATGAAACAATTGCAGATGTTTGTCCATTCATTTAGTTGATGAATTTAAGTAGCTAGTAGGTGCCTGGCTTTTTTTTTCTTTTTCTTTTAATTTCAGATTAATATGAAGGTACAGTTAGGTTACAATGTTTGCATTTGTTAGGTAATTCCCTGTTGTAGTTGTGTCCCACGCCCAAGAGTGTGCCATATACCCGTACATTGTGCCCATTAGGTGGGAACACACGAATCCCCTTCCCTCCTCTCTTTTCCTCCCTCTCTTCTCCCTCTTCCCCCCAACTTGAATTGAGTTTTTCTCTTGTGTGAGCATGTATTAGTTCATCTACTGGCTTCATATTGGTATTACATACATTGAATACTTGCTTTTCCATTCTTGTGATACTTTACTAAGAAGAATGTGTTTCAACTACATCCAAGTTAATACCTGGCTTTTTACATACATTATTTCGTACATCCTTTCAGCAACCAGACAATGATCCCTATTTCATTAATGAGCAAACTGAGGCTCAGAGTGAAGCCTGGAGATAGCTAGGAAGGGGAGAAGCTGGGTCTCAAACCCAAACTGCCCTCATTAAAACCCCCTTCTCTTTTCCAGATCTTCTCCACTGTCCAGATGAGGCCTTGGACTGGGCACTTCCCCTTCTCCTTGGGGCTCACAGGTGACTGGAGAGACAGGGCTGGTGAAAGCAACAACCAAGGGGCAAGCAAGGTCTAGAAGGAGGAATTTCAAAGGTAAACAAAGCCGGACATGGGCTAGAGTGGTCAGCACAGGTTTCATTCAGTAATACCCAGTGCCTCAGAGAAGGAGTCCAATGTGAACTGAACTCAACTTGGATTATTCAGAGGTGACTGGATGTGTGGTTGTTTCGTTTTGTTTTGTTTTGCTTTTGAGACAGAGTCTCACTCTGTTGCCCTGGGTAGAGTGCCATAGCATCATAGCTCATGGCAACCTCAAATTTCTGGTTGAGGAATCCTCTTGCCTCAGCCTCCCAAGTAGGAGGAACTACAGGTGCCCACCACAACAGCCATCTAGTTTTTCTATTTTTAGTAGAGATGGGGTCTCACTCTTGCTCAGGCTGGTCTCAAACTCCTGAGTTCAAACAATCCACCCGCCTTGGCCTCCCAGAGTGCTAGGATTCCAGGCGTAAGTATCTGGCCTGACTCAGTGTTTTAGAGGGAGACGAAGGGTGAGAAGGGTGGGGAGGTGTTCAGGGGATCAGGGAAGTGAAAAATTACAAAAACTAACTATTGTTAGTTGGTATGAATCCCTTTTGGGTTTGCAAATGGTGCTTATCAAAGTTAGATTCTGCCCTCCCACCAAGAACGGGAGTTGGAACAAACTGTGAATTCTGCTTACAGCCTTGAGTTTTCTCAGGCAGATACTTTTAGGGAGGCTGGGGTCACCCTAGGGAAGTGGCCTTGAGCTATGAGAAACTGTGTTGGTGTTTGTTCAAGTCTGTACAGGCTAAGGCTGAGGCACAGGCAGGAAAGGGCTCAGAGGACCCTGGCTCAAGTTTGGTGAAGGAGAGGGTATCAGGGGGTGGCCCCAAGAAGGGGTAAGGAGCTTTGCTGGGGGAATTGAGGGGTAGGGACTATTGGGGAAGCCTTATCAGCTGAGTCTTGCAGGATGGCTAGAAGACAGGCAGGAGGACAAGAGGCAACAGGTGGGACAGAGACAGCAGGTGGGCAGAGGCAGCAGGTGGGCAGAAGCAGCAGGTGGGAAGAGGCAGCAGGTGGGCAGAGGCAGCAGGTGGGCAGAGGCAGCAGGTAAGGAAGAGGCCAAAGAA